TTAATATAAATTAAAACTATATAAATTAATATAAATTAAGGTTTCCAATGACCCACTAATTAATTAATCGGTCCAGTAGAACTCTAGATTTAGTTGTACAAAGATTTTTAAAGTTGAATTATATATAAGTAGATGCATATTGCACAAGAATGACACCACAGTTAAATGAATCTTGAAGACAAACTATATATCTAAAGCGGCTAAATAATAATGTAAACTATATAACTACGTACTCAATAAAACCACATTCAATCACTTCAATCAACAAATACATTTAGACGATAGACGGACTTGGTCAACATACATGGTTTTAGTTGCTTATTTTTAAGAAGTTATCAGGCAGAATTTTACACAACATAATACCGACATATGAAAGATTCTTTCCAAAAAACTTCAAGATAACTTATGATAACAAAACGCAGTTTTTAGATATGTTGTTTATCCCATAACTGTTACATGAACCTAACGTCTCAAAGGAATAATGTCAATATATTTTATGATCTTTTTGGAATGTAGATGTAATTTTAAAACATTTATAATTTATTCTTTGCACTTTTTCTCCAAACTTACTCGTTTAGGAGCTATATCATGCTGAATGTAACCAAAAGCTACTTTAATCTAAATTTTACACGCTGTAACTCCTTTACGTAGCTTTATAGAAAAAATTCAACAGATTTTTTAAAATTAGTCTAAAATCGTCATAAAATACAAGGTGTCCGATAAGAAATTTTTAAGTTAAATATTGAAAATATCAGGCTTTAAAGGAAGAAAATTCATTTCCCATATAATGTTTTCTCTAAATCGAATAGTTTCTGAGATTGCAAAGGTGTGGTACATTTAAGTTCTTCACCCTGTATATTCGCAGAATACTAAACACCGAAACTGCGTCTTTTCAAGTATTTTAATGGGATTTAATATCATTGATGTGCTGTATACTGTGCCAAATGTTATTTTTGTATTATTCACAGTTGTAACTGGAGTTATAAACATTTATTTAATGTCAAAAAAATATATAAGTACATCTACATGGTTATGACTCATAGGAACGGCCACGGCGGGAATTCCAGGAACTGACCCTACTGGTGGCAAATGACACTGGTGGCAAACGACACTGGTGGCAAATAGTAGGACACCCTTGATTTCAACACTGTGAAAGCTTCCCATAGTTCTCCTCTAGGCTTAGCGTGTATGCAGTGTGGGTCATAAGTTATTGAATTTATTTTCGAACTCTATTTTTGTTTGCTTTAAAAGTTTTGTTTTTATAATAATTGTTGGATTTTACTAAGTCTTTGAAAGCTAAAAATAAGTTACATTTACATCATTTTCAGTGAGGGAATTGGTGATCTTGTCAATTAAATGTGTTTTTGACATATATGTTTTTGACGGTCTTGTTGTATTCATTTGGCAGTTTTCATGTAATCTTTTCTATGCAGTAAACATTTTGGAACATAGGTAAAAAAAACATCAATATATTTTAATTTGATCAAGCTTTGTCTGAAAAAACAGGCCTGACTACAATAATATGAAAACGTAAACCATACAAAAATCTAACTTGCAAGGTTAGGTTTAATTGATTTTCGATATTTTATCAGAAATAAAATATTTTAGGCAACAAATTCTTATTTGAATGACGCGTTATCAATACACATATTCTATTCTTTTTTAATTCTACCTAAACTTTTAAATTTATTTGAGACTTTAAACACCTATCAATCTCACCCAAATCCTCTCATCATTTCCCCCATCTCACGTTAGTGTCCCAGGGAACTGTTCACTTTCATATATACACGTGTATCGATCAGTTTTTGCGGGGGAGGCAGTTGGTACCCCTGTTGCGCCACGCGCCGGCCGGCTCATATCCAGGCCACGTCAATTCGCTAACTAGGTCACCGCAGTTGCACTAACCGCCGCAGCTACGGCTAACCTGTTATTAACTGTTACAAAGTAACTCCTTTCTCTTGCCAACTTCTAATGTCGCTTGCTTGATGACAATCTTGTGTAATAGGCAATTTATTGTATTGGTCTCGATACAATTATCGCGTCCATTTATAACTCGAGGAAATTTTATATTTTAAATTTACAGGTTTATCATATATCTTTGAGAAACAATTAATTTGGTGATAATCGTTCACAGGATGTAAACTTTTTTATTTTATTTATTTTTATTGCAGTTTTGTTAAATTTTTCATAACTATGGTACAATTTGATCATTCGGAATAGTTGTGTTAAATATTCACCGCATACCAGTGGACTCAAAATTGGACTGCATAAATAATTGGTATATGAAAACGTGTAAAAATGCATCAGTCAATCAATCAACTCAATATTTATCGGTTCGAAATATTAAAGAGTATGATTTATGATGGTGTCCTATACACCGTTTTCACTTAAACCTGACATTAAAATATCGTCCTTTAGATTAATTTAAATGCATGTTTGTCAGTTAGGTCATTTCACGGACCGGTTTCATTGTCGACAAGCTACGAGGGGCGAGCCGTCGAAAGTAGGAAGCTAGATGATGTCCTTCGTCATTTAAAAATCACACGCGCTGTTTAAAAGGCGCGGGCTCGCCCACCGCACATTACGCAAGCGCGTAACACACAAGGCCGCTGCGCCGGCGCAGTATTTAGCACAGCCGGAAGTTGGCAGCGATCAGCTGTTTTGTGCTACCAAGGCTGCCAACCTGCAGAATCAGCTGTTTTGTATCGCCAAGGTTTCCAACCAAACTCTGTTTAAGGCAGTATGCATGATAACCTTATCACTCGTCCTTGGTTTCCTTCATTGTTCGCGTATGCATATTTTACTTGTTTTCCGTTTCTGATATGTTCTAAACGTAAAGTATCGGCCAATTAATGCAGAAACTATTGTGACAACGTTATTCGCTACAAAAACTTTAAATCCCTTTACCTCGTTGCTACTTTCATCCTTTCACCCTATCGTCATGTTTGGGATTTCAATCAGCCTCTTGTGCATGTTTCCTTTCCTAAAATCAAGTGAATTAACCAGGGAAGAAACCCTTCCACATGCAGCAGCATCCTTATCAGATGCTTATCAACTGTGTATCCTCTGCTCTGTTTGCCGTTGATAACGAGTTCCGCATTGTTACTCAATGTAATAATTGAAAGTGTTGGGAATACTTAGTAGGAGCTGCCATTTCAATAGAAAAGATCTGTAATCCAGCTAAACGTCTGAGGAATCTATTCAAGATTACTATAATTCAAGTACTTTGATACGTAAACCAAAGGGAGACCTTTGTTCCTAATGTGTCTTGGAGTTTGTGGTTTTCAAATCTTTGACAGCCTCCAAGGGCTGACGGAAAACATTGCAATTCAATGTAGAAAGTAGTTTACCTCTCCAGGATTCTGCAGGACCTAGGACGTGTCTTCCACCTCCAGGAGAAACTCTCGGATCCTCGGGGAAGAACGCGGAAGACGAAGAACCGAGTCAGGTGCGACTCGACTTTCTCTATTCCACTTTCACTGACTATCGTGCTGCCGGGTAGTTTATTATGCCTAGAGTTTTATGGTGTGGCCTGATTTCGTTTGTAAACAAAGGTTTTGAGAGAAGTGGTTTTCTTGACTTTCAAGTATTTCGGAATTAAAGAAATGGCAAATGGCTGGTACATTTGAGATTGTTAGAAGTGCAAATGGTTTTGATCACTCTTGTGAATTAATGGTTCACAAGTGGATGGGTAGAACACTCGTAAACATTATTCTCAGCTTATTACCCAACATGTGTATAATTGAAACGCAAGTTCCAAGTATAATTAGAATAGTGACAAAGTGAGCTCTTTACTTATACTACCAGGGAGAGTTCTTAACAGGCTTTCTCCAAGATGTATTTCAAGTTTGATAAACCACTCACATTAATGGATTTTGTAATATAAACTACGGAAGTACAGTAATATTATACTTGATCTGTGTGAATATGAAAAATACTTCGCTGTTAATTGTTAAAACAATCATGTAGAAAGCTCATTAAGAAAGTTCGCACACATCGTTGTGCATGTTTGACAAAAATGCCAGAAGCCTTGTATATTTTGTAAATGGTAATCCGAAACAGTAGCCGAAACAATAGAACTGTCTTGAATACAAAACCATCGTAGGTTACGGTACTGCCCACAACCGCAAGAAGCCCAGTACAGTCGTCTCCGCTGGAAGTGGCCCACCGCAGTACAGTCTGGTCTCTGGTATAATTGATCACACATTGTTATCTACGTACATCTTGTCGATAAATAAATTGTTGTTTCATGTTCGAGGGTATGACCATTAGCTAACTTATTGTTGTGGATCGTATGTGTTCAATTTTATTTTCATTGTTTGCAACTTTTGACATCAATCAGTCATTTCAGCCTTGCCAAGCTCCCAAGTGGCAATATTGGGCCCAATCAGCGACACGGGCGTTTTGTCCTTGAACGGGTGTGTCAGCGTTCAGTCACGGTAGCCTCGTACACGCCCGTCATATGTTAACCTCCCTGACAGTGACGTAGACAATCTTCACATCAACTGATAATGCAGCTTTAAAGCGGTTGTGTTCAGTACTTAACGTGTTATCATACACGTGTCATGTGATAAAGTTATGTATCGTAGTTTTGCCGAATGTACCAAAAGAACATTTGAGTAAATTATAGTTATGACACAATAGCTTTCATAAGACTAATTTTCTGCTAGGAGTTATCAATAGCGATAAGGCACGATTCGCGATGAATATGTTTTTCTTAAGTTTTAAACGCTGTAGTTTATGCTGAAAGCTATCCAAGACCAAATAGTCAGGACGCCGAATCAAGGGATGTTTCAATCTCCTCGTTGAAATGGGTAGTTTTTTTGATCAGGACCTTTTCATTTTCAGCAGATTGAACAAGATTCTTAGTTCCACAAGATAGTACAGTACCATGGTGGAAGTAAATACAGTACACTGAACTTAATTTGGTTCCTGGACTCTGGGGAAGAACAATAGTTCTACAGCATATTCCTAAAACTAATTTCCACCTTCTTTTCCAGGGCGGCCTAGACCTCCGCAAGCGCCTAGAGGAGGTTCGCCTCCTGGAGTCCCGCAAGTCTGCACGACTGATGGACCAAGACACAGACTTCGCCCGCCTGGCAGACATGGCTGGGGACCGCAAGAGGACATCTTCCCACGTCATCGACGTTCCCTCCGTCCACGGGTGAGTAAATCGGGAACCGGAGTTTTGCCAACGGGTGTCAGGTAGATGGGGGGATGCCTTCGGCCACCTCTTGGTGCGGAGATTTGCCAACGGTGGTGGTGGGAGAAAGAGTGTGACGGAGGGAGGGAGAGCGATTGTCAGGGTTGTCTACGCTTGGCAGTTATGCGCTTGTCGCAGTGCGTTAGGTTAGGTTAGGTTAGGTTAGGTTAGGTTAGGTTAGGTTAGGTTAGGTTAGGTAAGGTTAGGTTAGGTTAAAAATTCAATACATTTCCTTTCACAGTCAGAGGTGCATAACTCCATTACTTTGAACACAGTCAGCATCCTGCCTGATTTGTCCACCCCTAGCGGAAGCCACCCTCACGGTCACGTGTAATCTCTCTCTCTCCCCCCCTACCTCTCTCGCGCAACCCACAACCGTTGGCAAAACTCCGCAGTATGTGGAATTCATGGATGGGGACCCTTTCTACCTGATACCCGTTGGCAAAACTCCTACACTCGAGTAAATCCTCTTCTTGTAAATCTTTCTTCTATGATCGTGTGTTACCTTCTTGCAGAGTTCTTTAAGGATCATCTGATAACCACGGTTCGTATCTTTCGCCAATGATTGCGATTGCCTTGCAAAGTGCAAGGGATAACATAGCCAAAATTCTTCATTCGTAGGATTCGGGAACTTGGACTGTATGAAGGAACCAATCTCCTGGCCCTTCGTTTTCCTGGGCTTGGCTCAGGCCTTGCGTTGGCCCGTTGAGGTACCTTGGTAGACGGGTGGTTAGGAGATGGGTTCCATCATACAGAGTATAGAATCCACAGCAAGTTTCAGTGTCAACTGCATCAGTTGGAGATTGCTGTTGTTTCAACCTTAAGTTAAAGAAGCATATACTGTGGCTAAGCTGAAACGGAGACTGAGACCTTGTTGATCATTTTGCTTTAGCCACTGAAGGGGAGTGTAATCTCCAACGGGTAACACGGTTGATACCAAAAACTACTTTGGATTCTAACCAAAAAAATATCAATCGATTATACCACTACCCAACTTTCACTATATTCAATGTATTCTTCAAATTTCTGAAACAACCCTTGATAAGTCTTAAAGCTTTGTAATCATCCAAGCTCCTGCGTAGGTACGAATGGTATGATTCGAGTCACTGACTTCATACGCAATACTGCAGATTGAAGAACAATGAAGCAGAACTTCTGGTTAACACGTGACACGTGCGACTGCCTACACTGCTCTCGTTGCCTGGTTACTGCGTCGCAGGGATGCAGTGATAAGATAATGTTATCACTGACCCGTTGTAGCGGACTGTCAATCTTGCATCAGTATCACCGCGACCTTCGGCACTGATAACGGCTCGTGCAGCAACACCCGCGGAAATTTTACTTGCGGCCTTGTCCAATCATAAGGGCGAAAAGGTCATAATGTTCACACTGTGCAGGAAAGGTTTCTTCCAATACCTTCTTTTGTTTGGCAAAATGTTATGGATTTTGCGGGAGAAACGCTGAATCATAACTTCTTTGTCAAAACTACCCTAATAGACACAGATTTTAAAGGTCAACATTTTGATGTGCTTAATCAAGATTAGAATAGTAACGGAAGTTAGTGGGTCAATCCTATAGCAGTGCATCTACCCTTCAGTCACACTCTCGAGAAATAATTTTCTTGAGATAATTTTCCTTCTAATAAAATAATAACACTTGGACTAAATCAAACGCCATGCAAACCTGGTTCGTTGGTTACCGAACAAAAGCAACACTGCTCGCCCTTGAACATTTCCTTCTTGCCTAGTTTGATAGAATGCACGTGCATGCAGCTGTGCAATATCCTGATACCTGCAACCCCGATGCCCTTGGCACGCCCAGGATAACGTCCTGTTCCTGATCCTAGACCTAACATTAAGGATACTACGATACGTCTAGACTACAACTAGACTTAATTATGGCTAAGCGTTAATTAGGGATTAATTATAATTCCACTTTGTTGTTTTCCAATAAATGCATACACAACATAAATTGTTTTTCGTGTTAATAATTAGTCAACATTTTCTATAAAGTAATGAACAGGTGATTAGGATTATCAATGATGTAAAGTTTATTAGTCAGTTTACTTTGGAAGAGTAATTAGAAGAAAGCTTTCAACACAAGCTCAAATATCCCATACAAATTTTATTTGCCGTTCCTTTCACAAACGAATTCCAACAAGGAATCGATAACCACCCTCGTGTATTCAAAATTCAACAATATAATTCCTTGCTTAATAAATTCGCTTGACAAATCGCTTTCACGTCCATCAAGACAATTGTCAGATGTTTACAGCAATTGTCATTCAAATTGTGGCCTTGACAAGTCAACGCGGAGGCCGTGCAACCGTTCAATATCAATTTGAGTTTGTTTACAATCCAGCTTCATTACTGAGAGGGAAGTGTTTTTTGGTGCCAAACATCAACATCGTCAACACGTAGCAACGGAGGCCGCTGATTGGCCAATCTCGATCTCTGGTTCGCCTTGACTTTCTGACTTTGACTCCAGAACTAGTTCTCTATCTCTCCACGGACAAGGATAATGCCTTTCATAAGAGGATTCTAGAACTGTAATGTGCTAGAGTGCTTGTATGGGAACTGATTAGCATAATCATGTGTGTGACATTATCCCAAGAATAATCAAACTACTCGCGCGTTAAAAACTTAAATGTCTTGCGTAGCAATTCTTTGATACTGAAACTAGAATTTATACCGAACCACTTAAAATCTACCGTATTTACAATAGACCTACTTAAATCTTCAGTAGAATTACTTAAAACTCCAAGCTATAGCTTGAAAATATATTTGAGGAAAGTTCGCCTGAGCTTTGAACTTGATCCCGATATAGAATTCCAGAAGTACCCTTTCTACGTCCTTGCCCTGTGCCTTGGCAGCCTTTGGCATGTTCTTAGGCAACGTAACCCTGACCGCCCTTCCACGGAAGGCTTGTCGCTTTCTGTTTCCTTCACACCTTACGGTCCTTGGGTCTAGGTTATCTAGCAAGAGATATCGTTACCAATTACCGAGTTCCTTGACTACGAAAATAAACATTATTGTCCTAGCTAGGCTCTAGTGTAAAAGTTTGATGCGGAAATAGTATTCAAGGTCCTCGTTGTTTCCACTTACGACAAGGTCTTCCTCTTGGTCAAAGATGTAATCGCTAGCATTCAAAGCACTTAACGCCTCGTCAAGAACTATTTGTTCTGGGGTTTCCGAATCCGGTCTCGTAGAACTTATTTCGTCCGTCTATCGTGTAAGTGTCTCTGGTTGTTGAACCTATTCAAGTTTCGTCAAGCAATAACTATTGTGTAATTTTCAAAGTTATTTTCCGCTGTGGGTAATTCCACAAACGACGCTACTTGAGTTCACCCAACATCCCTACTGTCCTTCAGGTAATCTTATCACTTGCAAGTTCATCTTGGAATTGCCTAAGCCAATGACGACTAGCAACAAGGATGTGTATTTGCTGAGGTACGCCATTACGTGTGACCGTGTGACTCATGGTGGCCTATATTGTTTCCTTTGTGCTGACGCTCGCAGCTTGTGATTCATGTTTTGCTTTATCAGCCGGTCAGTCGTCCATTGTCGTTCGGTGTTTGAGGAGCCACAGATAAACACTGTCAACGTTGCGGCCAGTTGTGTGTAAACCGTGGTTGTGTCGAGGTCGTGTTGATATCGAGAAGATAATTGCTTTGTGGGATTTACAAACATGGGTCCTAGGTTCAAGGACGGAGTGTCGTGTTCGTGGAACAGGAGGAAAACAAGGATGAAGAGATTTGTGTGAGTAGATTGTTTGTATTGGCTTTATAAATTATAAAGGAAATCGATTAACTATCTTCTTAAACTAACGAATAAAAAACATTTAAATATTGTTTTAAAGCTATATACAATAGTGTATCAAATAAACTTATATTAAAGGGAAGTCGAGTCTGAGCGTTTCGGTAAACGACCGCAAACATTGTAAACAGTTCTTTTGATGTTTACGATCGCTTTCAACTCTGCAGAGTGCCCTGGATTTTAAACGTCTCAATCAGTCGCCATTAAAGAATCGGCTCCTTTTCCTGATCCACAATTCGACGGTCCAAGATTGTTCTAGAAGGTGTTACAGATACATAACAACGTCGTGACGTCCCCTCTCTCCCCCTTCACTAGTTTATATAAGGTCTCCGGGGGGAGGGGGCGTGCCGGTTGTGTCGTAGACGAAAGTGAGAGCGGCGAAAGGTAGCTGCCAAATTGAGGTGAAAGCCTGACTTTCCCTAGCTAATAACACTGGTCGTCCGCAAGGATACGGCGTAGGCCCCTTCTTTTTCCTCGGGATTGGAGCGCAATTGGGCAGAACTATCGGCTTTGTGTATTTCCCGGGTTGGGGTGATTTGTTCAAAATGCCGTAATGGAATTCAGGAAGAAGCTGTGTTTCGTGGTGGATAAGAGCAAATCCATCAACCAGTGTGACTTTCACATAAACACAGAGAATTTACGCGTCTCAGTAAAAAACCAACGCAGACTCCTTTCCCCCGAAATTCCCTTTTAGGGAATTTAAATTAAATTAAACAAAAATCTCTCAAAATAAATTTTCATTAAAGAAACCCGCCGGGCAGGAAAACCTTTTACAATCTAACTAAACCTCCAACTATTGCGGCATCAAATTAGTGCCGGGTAAGCCAAAGAACTATTTAACGACCGTAGACCTGGGTGCGGGGCAATTAAACAGAAAGTGCGACAAATAAAGGATACTGTCTATGACGAAATGCGTGCAAGGCGCAAGACAAGTGCGCGGCAAGTGGGCCATGAACAATCATGCGCAGTAACGGGACTGCCTTGCGCCTTGCACAACGCGCGTCCCACTTCGAACTTCTCTTTCTTCCGGCATCTTTGTGGCTTTCACTCATCGCGGAAACAATGTCGCTGCTCTCTTTGTGCCGAACGATGCCGGTTGATGACGGTAGAAGAGCTAGAGGTAATTACACGTGTCAAACGAACGCA